TAATCTTTTGAAATGCCTATTCAAGATATATAGTTAGCACTAATTGTTTTAGCTGGATGTGGTAGTGCACCTACCTGTGTAATCTCAGGATTTAGGAGGCTGAGGCAGGAGGATCTCCATGAAGTCAAGGTCAACCTGGGCTACTTATGGAGACCCTGTTGAATCCAAAACTGTTGTCCATTCCTCTTTTCGATATTCTACATGAGGCATTTGAATGTAATAGAGCTAATTTAACAACATCAAACAGTCAGACCAAAAAGGTATTGTTGCAGTGATTTTTTTTTTAATCTTAATCAAAAAGTAGTATGTTCTTGAGCAGAGGCAGTGATTTTTTTTCACTAACATCAGCTGTACCCTATGGGTAAAGAAGCAACAATTCAGTGTATTCAAAACCTGAAAATAACACTTTGTTTTGTTTGAGATAGCATCTTGTCATGTAGCTCAGGCTGACTGTGAACTCATAATCTGCCTCAACCACCAGAGTGCTGGGATCACAGGCCTGTGTCAAAGTACCCAGCAAACAGCATTTTTTTGTTGTCATTCTGGCTGGGCAACATACTAGCTAATGATACTGACTGTGCCACTATCTTCCTTCCTTCCTTAGAGATGGCTGGAGCTTTCGTGGCAGTATTTTTACTAGCGATGTTCTATGAAGGACTCAAGATAGCCCGGGAGGGTCTGCTGCGGAAGTCTCAAGTCAGCATTCGCTACAATTCCATGCCTGTCCCAGGGCCAAATGGAACTATCCTTATGGAGACACACAAAACTGTTGGGTAAGAAGATGGAACAGATCCAAAGGAAAGTTCTAGAGAGGTGTCTTAGTAATGCAACAAAGAAGCTATGTCTTCTTCCTGAGTTAATGATTCTATATAACTAGAAGTTTGAGGTTATGTTATGGGAGTGGGTTCTGCAAACACACACATTTGTTTCAAGTTTCAAGTGTTGGTGGCTTTAAAAGAAGTTAAGGAATCCAGTCTAAAATATTTGCTAAATATTAATGAACATGCTAAGAATTTACAGTCAAGATTTAAGAGAATGGCAGGATGCAATGGCTTCCTTTCTATCAAAAGTTATATCTCACCAGGCATGGTGTATGCCTATAATTCCAGCACTTGGGAGATAGATAGAGGCTAGAAGATCATAAGCGAATCCTTAGCTGCATAGTAAATTTGAGACCAGCTTGGACTACATGAGACCCTGTCCCAAAAAGAAAGGAAGGGACTGGAGAAATGGCTCAGCAGTTAAGGGCACTGGTTATTCTTGCAGAAGACCCAGGTTTGAATCCTAGCATCCACATGGCAGCTAACAACTATCTGTAACTCCAGGGCCCTTTGGAGCCCTCTTCTGTCCTCCATAGGCATTGCATGACACGGGTGCACTTACACATATGCAGGAAATAATGCTCAGACACATAAAATAAAAATAAATAAAAAGGAAAAAAGAAGTTATATCTAGCCAGCAATGTTTTGAGGCAAGGTCTCACTATGCAGCCCTGGCTGGCCTGGAACTCACTATGCAGACCAGGCTTACTTTGAACTCACAGAGATCTGCCTGCCTATGCTTCCTGAGTGCTAGGATTAAAGGCATGCCCTATCACACCTGGCTTCATTTTGTAAAGTTTAGATTTTAATAGAAATGTTGGTCTTAAAACTAGATTAGACTTAGGAAACCCTGTAGGCCAATGATCCTGCTTTCAAGCAAACAGTATTGCTTATTCCCCCTCACTAAGTTCCCACTGATGAGTTTGTTGCAGCCCAGCAAGCAGATGAGTTCTCCTGCTGAATGAGGTACTTTTATTATACCACCCACCCTGCAGTTCTAATTCATTTTAATCAAATGTGAACTTCTTAGAGGTGAAAATTCCAAAAATGTTCAGGCAAATCAGTGTGGGTTTAGGCTTCCCCTTTCAGGATCTAGGGCAGAGATAAGTGGAGATTACTCCTCTTTTTACCCTGCTCCAGAAAAGGACACCTCCTACCAACACAAAACCATATCTAGCCAGTGTTTATGAACCTCACAGCCCTATGGGGTTTCCTTTTAGGACCAGTAAACACCATACCTCATGCACATGTACTTGAGTTGCCAGGGTGGCTGTGAAGCAGTCTAGTTGAGGCTGTGCTCACAGCTCCAGCTGCTCCCCTGATCCGCAGATCCCAAGTCTGATTTTCCTGTCCCTGTTTACTCTCCAGGCAGCAGATGCTGAGCTTCCCTCATCTCCTGCAGACAGTGCTGCACATCATCCAGGTGGTCATCAGCTATTTCCTCATGCTCATCTTCATGACCTACAATGGGTACCTGTGCATCGCAGTAGCAGCGGGGGCAGGGACAGGATACTTTCTCTTCAGCTGGAAGAAGGCAGTGGTAGTGGACATCACAGAGCATTGTCATTAACATCAGACTGCACGTGTGGCCTTACCAATTGCAGTAGGAAAACAGCTGGAGACCAGAAGACATGATTCCCACTCCAATCGTCCCCTCTTGCTCCTCTTTACACATGCACATATACCTGCTGAATAGAGGTTTAGTTGACAGTCTTTGAGGTAAAGTAGTGCTTTTTCTAATAACTTAAAATTCTCGTTTATATTGAGAAGCCACCCATGACATGTCCTCTCCCACATCATCCTGATCCTTGTCTAATCCAAGAAACTTCCTAGTTACGGACTTGATTAGCTGCTCTTTTTCACTCTTCTGGTTTTTGTTTTAACAAACAATATGTGAATTTTGTGGGGGGGGGGGAGCCTGGGTCAGTGATGGACAGAGATTAACAGGATTGATGGCAGTTAGGGACATTCTTACCCAACCCAGAACTCAAAACTTCACATTAGGAAATAAGCTCCAGTCTTTTAACTCAATGAGTAGGGAAATACATTGTGCCTTTTTCTAGGTATGATGTGTTACACCAAAATATTTGTAGTATGTAGAGGGGTGGTTTGAAACTAAGTACAGGCTTAGAGTTTGTAGAATATGCATTCTTGAGTGGCTCACTTGTCAACTTGTATTCCCACTTAACATTTTGATTAGAACCAAAAAAGAGCAATCAATTTGAGAAGACAAAAATATTTTTAAATAAAACCATTGGCATTTTACTTTGACTTGGTACCTTGGTTTATCCCAACTGAACAAACAAAAGAGTTTGTATTTTTTTTTTCCTATTGCTGTTTTCATGTGTGTCCCTTGAAACCAATGACTTTTCAACTTTAGCATGTATCATAATCACCTAGAGGGCTTGTTAAAACTCTTGTTAGTGGGCCTCAACCTTAGAGCCACCAAATTTGGCATTTCTAAGTTCCAAGGTGATGTTTTTCTGCTGATGGTCAAGAGTCCTTGCTTTAAACTAGCCACATATCATAGGAGGAAGGGGGCTATCTGTTACTAAGCATGAGACTCTGAATTGCTGTTGGTAAGGTGGTATGTCTGAGTGTTATATCACATCTAAATGCTGCTGGTCAATACTTTATCATTCCACAAACATTTATTCAGCTCCAAATGCGTGGGTGTGTACGCACAGGCATGAGGGACTATAGCCAAAGTACACTTATCAGCATGTATTAAGTCACTAGTCCTGACTTTTAAAGATCTGAGGTTAAATGTTGAGAGATCTTTGATCTGCAGTATAAGTCAGCCACTCAGGGGCCAGGAGGGCAAAAGTCCAGCTTTCTGTTTGGAAAGACTTAGGGTGTGATCTGCTAATAGCCAGATTTTCCTGGGCCCCAAACATCTGCTATGCACTTTATGCAGATTCCTGTCCTCTTCTTGACCACCACTTACATAGATCACTAGTGGCCAAAACCTCTCTTCTCATTGAAGAATCACATTGGATGTTTATTCTGTTCAATCATTAGTCTATACTGCAGTCTTGCTCCCAAACTACCTCTTTAAAGTGATTCTTCCTGTGCTGGTCTGTAGAATCCTGCCCTCCTTGGTGCTAGATCCAATTGTGCCTCTCAGGGCAGAAACAAATCTGAAGTCTTGTTTGCCTAGTGTTGTGGTTTTAAAGCCTGTACTTTCTCTGTGGGTGCTACTTAAATATTGGAAAACAAGGGTTGTGTACTCTGATGGCTTTGAACAGAGAGGGTTGTAAACCTATTGGAAGCTAAAAATCTAAGAAATCAACATTCAGAGCTTTGCTTTTCTTTCAAAGAAAAGTAGTGCTGGTTCCTAGCATTTGCACAGTGAATGACAGGTACTGACAGAGCCCCACATTAAGGTGCAAAGAGTCTGCTGTTATCTCATAAACCAAGGAATAATAGAACCCTAAGGAATGAAAAACAATCTTAGTGGTGACCCTGGTGCTCTCTAGAAATCTCTATATGAGCTGCTATATAGAATACCTTCTAGGGGTAAGATTCAGATTACAATGGATCATTCACCTAACATATGCAAGGCCCTGGATTTAGTCCCCAGCACCAGAAATCTCACTTTGCACAGATCTTCAGGGCAGAAATAGTCACCTTGCAAAAATAAATTTTAGGGATCCCTAGCCTAATCAAAGGATGAATCTAGTAAAGAACAAAGTTAAAGCTTAAATCCTATCCTTGAGCTTTTAGATTTAATGATCTCATTGACTTGTTGATTCCTGGCTTTGGGGTTTGTTTCCTTTTGTTTTATCTGAATTTCTTTCTCCCTCCGCTGGCTGTTCATAATCTCTAAGAAGACTGTGTCCCCACTTCCTAGGCCCCTGCTCTCCTTTTCCCTTTCTGACTTTTATCACAAGTTTATTAAGTCTCCCTTGGCCTCTGGATGCCCTGGACATTACTATGCCATGGTTACACTTACCAATTATAACTTGGTATTTATAAATCTACTGGAGATCTTAAATATGCTTCAAGAAGCGATTGTCCCAGTGGAATTTCTGTAAGGCTTGGTAAAAGACAACTGAGTACCTTCCCCGGAGTTACAGAATCCTAGGTGCTAACTCCAGTCCACAATGGAAGAACACTCAACACCTGATTACCCACAATGTGGCATCCTTGGTATCCACCAAAATAGAAATTTTCTTCTCTGCACCTATGGTAGGGTTGGTACAGAATTCCCTTTCAGGCTATGGGTACCAGGCCTGGGTTCCAGTCACAAGGGGTTCCTTATTAGGATCAGGGGAGTAGGGCAGGGAGTACACATTACTGTCATTTAATCTTGGTCCTGCTCTCTCCAGCTACTTCTTCAGAAAATGCATCTAAAATGACAAAGTATGTATTTGATATGCCTTAATCATTGGGTCTACAATTCATGTTGACTGTTTTAGAGTGTAAGCTCCTGGAGAGCAGTACTGCTGTAGTTGGAGTGTTTCAAGTGTCATGTGCTAAAGAACAAAATAAATATTTTGATTTTGTGATTCTATGCATGCCTGTCTACCCAGAGTAGTATCCAAATAAGCTGGTCCCTTTACAGTCTCCAGTAACTTCCCATTACCATGAGTTTAGGATGTTAGTTATGTTAGATGACATGACCTTGTTGCTTTCATCTGACTCCCCTAAACATGCAGAGCTAGTACCCACCAGAAGAATTGCAATACCTTGTGTTGTGCCCAAGTGACAGGATCTTCATGAAGTTGCAAGTTTTTCAGAATACGAAGGATTCTGAAACCTAACTTTTGCCATTTTATCATCCCTTTCCTGTCCTGGAGCCATTAGGCAGAAGGCTCTGTACTAGGCCTCTAGGAAGTTCACTGCCAGGCTTGTGATAAACACTGACCCTTTGTAAGTACCAGAGTGCTACTGCTATTCAGGCTTCCTGCTGCCTACACTGGTGTGTAACCATTCACCATGTCTCCTAGTGCCTCAGTATTATGTGATGGGCACAGGCTTCAGAGACAGTGAGTGGGCTTGAACCTGGGCTCCATCAGTACGGTGATTTAGGAAGTTAGTCTAAGCATCTCTGACCCTTAGTTTTCTTACTTATAAAAAGGCAATGATGGCACATGCCTGTAAATCCCAGTATTTGGCAGGCTGGGGCAGGAGGATCATGAATTCACACCAGCCGTGGGCTATCCAGTGAATGGTTTCAGGTTTGGGGGCTCAGGGGAACACTGAAACAGATCGTCGTACGGGTAAGAAGTTTATTAGAAAAGTTACTCATGCCATGAGCATATATAGTCAGTGGCATGGCCAACACCACAGGGGAAGTTTTCACAGCCTGCAGTCAGGCTGTCATGGATTTCTGGGTGGCAGCCAGGGGATGGGATTTCAGAGAAGAAATTTGCACTCTGAGAACATGGGGGAAGTGAGGAGGGACACATTATATAGGTATACCCATTGTACAGGTAGGGTATGTGTCACCACTGGTAGCCCTCTGATGTCCCCGAGTCTGCAACCTGGGCTATAAACTTCTTTAGGGAAGTGAGAATGGACCCTGCCATCCTCCTGAAATTCAGGTACCCAAGAAGTCTGTTTACGGTTTCATAAACAAGCTCACTAGGGCCCATCTGTCTTTCCCTGTAGCAACAGGGATCTCAGAATCAACTATGAGGATGGAGATAAAGAGGGCTGCAGTGTCTGGTCTGGGATTCTAACACAGTGAAACTCCTCAAAAAACAATGGGTGGTAACCGGGCATGTTGGTGCACGCCTTTACTCCCAGCACTTGGGAGGCAGAGGAAGGCAGATCTCTGTGAGTTCAAGGCCAGCCTGGTCTACATAGTGAGTTCCAGGCCAGCTGGGGCTACTGAGAGACCCTGTCTCAAAAAAGACCAAAAATAAGAGTACTGGCTGCTCTTGCAGAGGACCTGGGTTTGGT